GATATAATTTTAATATATAGGTCTTAACTCTTACTTCTTTTTCTATTGGTGAAAAATTATTCCAATTTGTAGAATAAACTACCTCTACCTCAGCTACCTAYTTGGCTACATGGCTATGTAGGCTACATCCAACATGATTTTATGTTATAAGTCCAACTACTCTAACTGCAACATGTTACTTGTTGCGTGGTTGCGTCTGRTTACCGACAATTTTAAATCGGTTCGTCGATGTCGAATCGGTCAGTGACCAGTGTGGCCCCGATAATGCGATTCATATGTTATTTATGGATGTCGCGGTCGTTATATTTTATTCGGATCGGTTGCGTTTTATCGGCAAGACGGCAACCGCAAAACGTATATGGTGATCCAGGCATCCGGCAATTATAAATCGTGAATGACGTGAATCGAGATCAGCTGTGATGTACATGGCACGTCATATATCGTATRATCAATAATGTTTATTTTCTATTGTATATACCTATTCTACATCAAGAGTCAAGACTTTTATAAATAATAATTATTATTATATAGTCCAATGTTACCAACTTATTACGGATTATCTACTAAAACACGTGCGTTCGTTGTTGTTAATCTATTAGTTGTTGCTTGTTGAATGTTGGGTATTTACTAYTTTATTATTATTTTCCGTTTTTCACATTACCACTTCCTTTATTCTTCTCATCCTCTGTTAGTCTGTCAACGGCTAAGTAAGCACGAATGTCCCCTTGGGCAATGATTAAATTAGATTATTTTTATTATTTTGTCATGCCTTGGGCCATTACAGTTTCTATTTATAGTTAGTTATTTGTAATGTTACAATACTTGTTTATGCCAAACTAGTAATATGTTGTATATTATTGTTTAGTTTTTAGTTTTTACTCAGCGTGGCAGCGTGGCAGCGTTTAGTCGTAAAGGTAGTTACTAGAAAGTAAGCTCTTGAGTTCCTATAGGATAACCGTTATGTTTAATGCTAAGATTTCAGATTGTTAAACCTTTGACGTTTTTAAATTAAAAAAGTTCAAAATGTTAGATATTTGTTTTTTATGCGTTATTTCTTTATTTATTTTGATAGTTTAAATTAATTTCTGGTTYAATTGTTCATCCGTGTACAAGGTAATATGAAATTATAATAATTATAAATGTTTTTATGATATAGCCGATATACCTAGGTATTATTATATGGCCATGATTTTATAATAGTCATTACTTCTTATGTTTTGTTGTGTCATATTTATCGTGGCGTATTACACATGACTTGTGCMGTAGGATAAGAATTTAATGTGAACAAATATTAGTGAAGGGGCAAGTGAGGGTGATGCTTTTTGTTATCCAATKCAACATTTTGAGAGTAAAATTTCCCTATCTGTTTTTATTTGTATAGTAATTGTTTTGTCAACAATTGTATTAATTGTATTAATTAATGTTAAACAAGAACTATTTTTAAAGTATCTTGTATCTTGGTACAACGTGAGAAGAAAGATCAGGCAGACTTAGAATTTAAGTATTTAATCTTGAAAACAAATAAACATGACAATTACTTTTATCAAAAATAATTATTCAATAGAAGGCAAAAAAATTCTATAAAATATGTTATTTATATTATGAACTTGATAAAATTTTTATTTCATGGGGAATTCAAAAATGCCATTTCAATGAAATAGATAATACCTGGTTTTAAATAAAATTTGATTTTTTAGAATATAATTGCTTATTTATATTTTTAATACAGTTATGCACAGGTTCTTAGTCCWGAAAGTGTACTTTAAAAATTAGGGCCTACACAAATATTGAAATCCATTAGGTACAAGCAATTATTTTATGATCTTAATACTATTGTTACTATAACAACTGATCAAAAATTCAATCTAAATAAAAAGACTAATGTATAGGCTAATAATCAAAGTTTGGTAAAAATCTATAGAAAAATTAACTAATTCAATAATTAGTAACATCATTTTTGGATAAATTGTTCAAATTTTTAGTGTACAATTCCAATATATAGCTAGTTCCTATTTGATTTAAAAACAAAATATTTGTTGTCATGGATAACTTACAACTTTTTTGTTAATGTTAATTTATCATTAGTTTTGTGCTTTTGTATTTTATTTTTATTTTTGTATTACTCATAAGTAGATTTTCAAAAACTTAATTACCAAGGTAATAATTTAATTATTATGCAAACGAAAACATCTCTATAACTAACCAATCCACTAGGGCCGTTTTTGAATAATTAAGGCACTCGTTAAGGTGTTAGGTGAAAGGATTGGGATATGTCTSTTTACAGCTGATACAACTAATGGGTGAAGAGGCAATTTTTTTTCCACACGTGATGAAAACTACTAGGCATTCACATTGCCTGTTACCTGACGTTAATATATGGTTRTAGTAGGCATATACCTATATAAATTTCTGTCATCTGCAATTTTAGTAATAACTTAATACTTGGGATGGAATTAGAATGTCCCAAAAAATGCTTTTATGCTTTAAAACTTTCGACTAACATGCTATATAATAATACACATTTTAATTTATTTTTCAATAATTTTTATATAAATATAAATTTAGCATAAATAATAATATGTATTTTAAAAGGCTGCAAAACAATTTAACAGATAAAAATGTTTGATTAAAAGTTTTGGACTTTTATAATATGGATAAACAATTGTGTTTTTTTTTTTATAACTAAAATTTATATTTTTTTTCCTTGTTCAATGTTGGAATTTATTAAATTTACAAAAAAATCACGTGAAAGCATGTAGGAATATCAAAATTAATTTTAAAATTAAAAAAAAAGCTTCTAACATGTTATAATGCAAAAAACATAAAATAAAAATTTTTTATTCTAGATAAATGCATGAAATGTGTATGTATTATAATATGAGCATTACACAGCTTGATTTAGAAAACAATGCAAAGTGCATCAAAATCTCATCAAATATTAATGCTAATAAATAATGAAAAGATAWGGTGTTCATTTCCAAAGTAAAAACCTGGACCAGAATTCAGAAGTTGGAAACAAGTTTCAACAGAAGTCTAGATGTTATAAAAATAAAATATTTCAAATTCAAAAATCTTCTTTTTTTATTTAGTCAGCTATCTTAGGTTGACACAGAGACAATAAATCATTTATAAAAATCAGCATTAAAGTAAAATTATATATTTGATAGTCCAGTTTCCAGTTATTTCCTTACCGTGGGCCACTGATTACGGGCTCCTGACCCATATCAATGAATAAAATATTTACTGTTCTTAATTTATTTTTTATTTAGAGTTGGAAATATGGGTCTTTCTTCACAACAAGTTTTGTCATTTATTCCTGCAGATTCTTGGACTCCAGTAAGTGATTTTTATATAATATATTTTGATATTAAATGAGTTGAAATATGATATTTTTTACGTTTTTTTAATACTCTCACGTCTTATATGTTTATTATGACAAATTTTTGACCCCACTTTATGAGGACCCTGATAAATTACTAAAAAAAAAGGTTTAGGGCCTTGAAGGCTTTATCCACTTGTGCAGGCGGTCATGGCCAGGCCAAAACTGGTTAAGATCAAATATCGTTTTGTTGTACAAAGAATTAAACAAAACATTRAGATGCAATTTTTAAAAATATCCATCTGGATAATTTAAAATGTATATTGATATAACAAATATATATTAACTACTAAAAACTCCATATGTATAGATTTTTAATTACACATTATTACATGAAATAAAAAATAGGCAAATTTAATATTTAATTCCTACCATTTTCTTATGTTTTATTATTGCGAGGTTATCTACCATAGTTTTAATTGAAATTAAAATTTAAGAATGGTTCAATATTGAATGATATTTGTGATTTTGTTTGGTTAATTATTAGCTTATGTAAATTTTATAACACTGTACATTTGAATTTTCAATATTATTTTAATTTCTATTAGGTTTTTGTAATGCCAGGTTATAAATCGAATAATGGAATTTATGTAATATCTACAAATGAAAAATATTTACAACGTTGTAATGACATGTACAAAATGGTATTACATAGTTATACATTTGAAAAAGTCAATACATATCAGTTAATGGGATTGGTTGCAGTAGAAATAAAAGGATTATGGTTAGTATTAATAAACACATATTATGCTTCTAACATTACTTGTATTTTTAGTTAATTTATATACCTAGTAAGTATTTATTTTTTTGAAGCCTCAAGAAAATGTATGCATCTTTAAAACAAAATGCCTATTACAATGAATTACATTGCATTTTATATAAGAAGTATGAAGATTAAATTCTTAAGTCTTCATGGTTAAGGTGTGAGAAATAGTTTTAATGAAGTATACCTACACTTATTTTAGTATGCAAATATTAAACTATTATCAGGTATGAAACTAAACAGTTCATTTAATATCAAATAAATATTCATCGTAGTATGAATATTTCAACAGAACTCCAGTGAGAGAATTTGCGAACCATTAGAAATGATTCAATTTTATATATATTTTTTTTTGCCATATTTATCATATGCAAAGTACACACACACACACGCAAATAATGTCTTGTATACAATTCATATTTATAATACTATTTCTTATTCATAAATTATAATTTATTTTATTCTAAGTTTTTAATAGATATAATATAGATTAAAATGACCTACTTAATTATTAAATTTGTGTAGGGTAATTTGTATAGGTAAGCTAGAATAATAATATCTAATTAAGTTAGTTTGAAAATCATAATGCATACCTACAACTAGTTTTTAGTTAAATTTTTGTTTTATTGATTTTTTTTTACTAGGTGCAGAGGCAGAATGCTAAGTTATAATGAATGTTTGATTAAAAACACAGTTGTTGAGTTAATTGATTCAGGAACTATTGTTAAAAAACAATTATGTGATTTATATCAACTACCAAATGGTTTTAAATATGATCCTTTAGTAAGTGACATTTTTAAAACAATAAATACTAGTAAAATAAGATTTTAAGGATTATTTTAGAAGTGACGTAATTTGGGAGTGGCAAAATGGGCATTTACCATTGTCTAAATTTAAAGCAGCTCCGGTACCCGGTTGTATATTATATATTATATATTATTAGAAAAAGAATGTCTGTTAGAAGGACTCCCAAAGTTGTTTCTTAAATCTAAATTCAAATTTTAACAATCAATCAGCTCTGTTATTTATCATTGATTTCAGACYTWATGATAATAATCAGTGAATCGACCTATTATGAAACTTGATGGTAAGAACATTATCTGTGTTTGTACGTTGGTTTTTTATAATAATTCAATTTTTAAGTGAGTTTTGAGCATATAATATACAGTACATTAAAAATACTCATAACTCCCTTAAAAATTGAATTATTGTAAAAAACCAACGTACAAACACAGATAATGTTCTTACCATCAAGTTTCATAATAGGTCGATTCACTGTAATTTTTAAACTAAAGGAGCTACAAGTGTTCTGCTGAGCGTACATTTGTTATATTACGCACTGGTAAGACGAAGACAACAAATACCACTGTTACGTACTCTTAAGTATACTTTATGTCTTTATGACAGTCTTGTAAGGCGTACTATTCACTGTTCTAATTTATTAGCATACATTATTATTTAGGTCTCAGATTTAAATGCCTTAATATTTTGAAAAATTCAATTATGACTTAAATATTATTCAAAACATAATTCAGCTTWAAAGGACATAAGTACTGCATGTGTTGTCTCCATCTTACAATTGYGTAACATAAAAAAAACTGTTTCAAACAGGAAAGAACTAAGAAGTCTACATTTATAACTAAGAAATCACATTTTCATCATGAAAAAGAAGAATTTTAATTCTGTCACAACATTTTATTTTTTTGATGAGACCAAGTTATTTTATTTGAGAAACTTAAAAATACCTATCAGATTTTTAAAGTATTATGACTTTTTTCTTCTTGAAAATATCAAACAAATAAAAACGTTACGACACAGAAAATATTATTTTCTATATTGTGTTAACTTTTGGTGTTTCTTTTAAGAGTACAGACTGAGTGATTCTATCCCGCGCTAAACAGTTTTTGCAATGTTACGCACTTGTTAGATGGAGACAATACATGCGGATATTAGGTCCTCTTAAGAAACAATCACTCATCTCACCAACTAAATAGATAAATCRGCAATATTGACTCATCCCTGGAATAAAATACATTTTGTTCTGGTTTTTTTCTTGACATTTCGTAGGTGTTTGATCTGGTCTGGCATGAAGGGTTAACATTCAAATTTTTATTCTTACCCAAGCTGTTGTTATTTGTCACCCTAAAAGCTTTATTTTTTCAAACCAAATATTTGCAGTGATATGTAAAAAAGAAGCTGTATTCATTTTGCATTCAAGAGAGGTATGCACATAGAATGGGTGCTGTTTAGATATAGCATTGATTATAAATACTAGTATTTATTATATTTATTTACATTATTTTTAATACTTAGTATTTATAATCAATGGCTATAGGTACTTCTGCGATTGCCGATAATATTTTTTTGACTATAAATAATGCTTTGCAATCTATCAAATTTTTGCTCTATTAATTTGGTTTCCAAATAAACAGCCGTTTGGCTTATCTGTATATCATAAAATAGCGTTACTGCAATACAGTTTTGTTATAGTAAGTTGTAATTTGTGTTATGTTACTATCCAATGCTGCATTAACTATACTTACCTATCTTTAGATATCAATATTTGTCATAATTGTAACATCTTTTAATAAAGTAACTTAAAATTATTTATCTATTTGCAGTGTCTCACAATTAAASCTGTTAATGAGTTTCCTTCCCTTACAGTGGCTACACAGTTTTATGTCCAACCTTTATTATTACAAAGCGTAAGTTTAGTATTTAAATTTATGTTGATACTAACTGTCTTTTTGTATTTTCTAAAACTAATTGAACATMTAATTTATTTTAGGAACTTCATAAAGGTTATGTTGTAGTAAAAATCAAACCAATAGAAATTATTAATGAAATATATTCAGAGCTGACATGTGAAGAAATAAATACAATAAGTTCTCAACCTTTAATCATTAGTACCAAGGAAAAATGGTAATTCATAGTACTAAAGTATTCTTGTATATTATAAAACTTGTTTCTTTTTTTAAAAAAAATTTTATAATTTTATTTATAGTATGGTCAAAGAGTCTAAATGTAATCTACAAGAACTAAACAATTTAAATAATCGTTTGATTTCCATAAAAAAATTTAAAGAACAAGGTAATATTATTATTGCATTTAAGAAAAATATTTATAACATCTTATGAATGTGTTTCTACTATCTAGTGGCTTATGGTTTATGATCAATAACTATAATTTTTAACTAAAGTTCAAATAACTAATTTTATATGTAAAAAATGGTTTATATTTTTATACCATTATTTATAACAAATTTCAAGGGCCAGCTAGATTTTCTTATTGTAACCGGTTGCTTGTTATATACGAACGTCGAACATGGTTAGAACGAGCATTTATTGTTACCAGTTAGAATCAGGAAATATATAATATTTATTATTATTAATTATGATTRCTAATAGTGTATATATACATRCTTAAATTAATTATTGRATAAATAAATACTTATTATCAATCAACTTAAATAGTGGAATAAGTACATGATTAGAATAAAATAATGAATGGCTCGTTATAACTGAATATTCATTTTATAGTTTAATGTATTTCACTAATTATAGCCTATAACCATTGATTATAAATATATATATAAATTATAGTATTTATAATCAATGCTATAACTCGTAATAACTAGGACCCGGATTTAAATGCACTTAACAAAATATGCTCTAGCTAAAAAAGTCCTTAATACATGCATTTTACCTTAAAAATGTCATTTATATATATTTTTTTTACATAATTTGGTATTCTTATTTGGAATTAATAAGTAAAATACATTTATTTATTATTTTATTAAAAAAAAAAAATTGAAAATTGGAAAAATTATCTTGATGTTGCATGATGTCGACATGAATATGTTTTGAGGTAATATTATTCATTCTAATTCTAAACATAGATACTTAAATATACATTAATAAATTTGTATAGTTTATTTAACAAATACGCATTAAAAACCATAAAAATGACCCAATTATGCTGAAAATGCTCTAATAATAAAAAACCGCCAGAATATGCAGAATAAATTTTTAGTTTTGAAACAATTGTTATATGAAACGAATTATGTACTTGGAAAACATTGTCTAAGATCATATAAAAATATATGCATTGAAATCCAAACCCTAATAATAACCATACTCATTGTAAATGTATATTTTAACATATAATCATATGGACTTCGTGCCAGAACCTAACGTTTTGCTTGGTGTTAGCAGTATCTCACTTAAGTATAATCATTATAGTGATTTCTACTGTATATCCATAAATTGCACTAAAATCTTCTTAATTCAAATAAACTGTTCTTGAAACATGTATAATTTGAATATCAATAAATTACTGTGCTAAACACAAATCCAATTGTTACATTTTAAATCTTACAATAATAATTTTTTTAAGAGGACTCTACACCCGCATGTGTTGTCTCCGTCTTACAAGTGTGTAACATAGCAAATTCACGCTAAGCAGATCATGTTTAGTTCCGTTAGTTTAACATTTAGAGTTAGTTSACCTCTCATAAAAATTAAAGGTAACATTATTATGGAGGGCTTCTCATAGACTTTTTATATTACTAATAACCTTATGAGAAGTTAACTAACTCTTAATGTTAAACTAACGGAGCTAAACATTATCTGCTGAGCGTACAATTTGCTAGGTTATGCACTTGTAAGACGGAGATAACACATGCTGGTGTAGCTTCCTCTTAAGCGTACATTATAGTCATTGTATTCATTAAAGTTTATTAGTTAGTAAGTAACGAGTATAAGAAAAACTAAAAGACTAGTAATAATCATCTTCATTTATTTATATTGTTTTTTGTCAGGTAATGCTATTTATTTATTATAACTTAAAATCTAAAAAATCTTG